TGAGAGGTTTTGTCAAAATCAGCAATCACCTCACACAAATGACCCACTGCAAGAATACTGCAGTGTTCCGAAATAAATGCAGCTATATTAAGCTTAGCTCTCTTCCGATCTTTGTCAATTTTTGCTTTCACAAATGTATCCAAAACTGAATTTCTTGCAAGAGATATTTTTTTCTCCAAATGTTTTTTTTTTTTGCTGCATGCTCGTCTAACCCTTTGCGATGTGTACCAATTTCGGTTTTGCAATATACACAGAAAGCCTTGGAGTTACTACCAGTCGATGGTATCAACTAATCTAAAAAAAAAAACATACACGTAAATTTAATATACATACAGTGGGCCTCCCATCCGATCCAAACAAATTGAATTTGGATTCGTCCGCAAATATGACGTCATCCCAAAACGAAATGGGATGAAGGAGATGCTCCTTCGAAAATTTTAGTCGAGCCGCTATATTTTTCTTGCTAATAAAAGGCTTCTTCCGTGCTACACGACCATTAAAGTTGTGATCGTGTAGCACGCGGCGCACCGTATCAGCACTGCACGTTTTGCCCATTTCTTGGGCAACTTCCGACACAATTTTTGGGGCGGATAACTTCGGGTTCTCCTTAATTTTTCGTATTATCCGGCGCTCCTCGTGTTCGGTAAAAATTTTGTTTGGCGCATTTCGGCCCTTATCCTCTATCCTATTCTCCCGAACAAATCGCTGGATGATGTACTGTACAGTACTAGCAAAGACAATAGAGCTATAAGATAAATAACGCCATACGATTTTTTTGCACACGATTTTTTCGTGCTGGCTTTTGAACTGGCTCCAGGCTCTCTGAAATTTTGTTCAAAAGCCAGCGAAGAGAGCGCTCTAGAGCCAGCCGTTCTCTTGTACGCATTCAGCGACGCCGTCGGGTGTTTGTGTGCAAACGGGCCTCAGAAGGCCAATTTCGCAAATAAATTTATTTTTTATTTTAACATCTCTTTAATTTTATATACTTATTGATTTATAAATGAATTTTTTATAATGTATGAATCATAATAATATATTGTTAATTTATTAGTCAATTGAATTAGATAATTGTAAATACATATGTAATTATGAATGTATTTAAATCAATTATATGTATTATTTTGCATATTTATTTAATAATAAAATTATAAAATATACATACAGATGAAAATAAAATTTAGTTAACTGATTTTCTGGATTGAACTTGTATACAAATACAATCTATATTCGAGATCAGCTGTTTTTGCTGCCGCTACTATCGCACAGTAGCGCCTTTTCTCATTTAGCGTTGCAAAAATCATATATTTTGAACCAAATAAGATAACCTAATAATTTGAACGGACAGATAATTGTTGTAAAATATATATATATACTGCATAATAATAAAAAAAATATGCTAACTGTAGCGCTCACGGTTTTGTGGCGGTTACACTTAGAATTAAGAAAAAAATTTTAATTGATTTTATTACAGATTCTCAATCTTTGAGAAATGTTCTGTCAAATAAGTATGGTTAAAATCGTTTTTGCGAACATGACTTTTTCGATTTTTGCAAAGCTATTTGTTCGAGAGGCGCTACTGTGCATCGCCTCCTAACAAGCGGTCGCCAGCACAAAACATAAAAATTTGATTTTTTGGTGCTTGCGCGCTGGCGCACACATATTCTCGCACACATACGCGCTTGCGTGTTCTTGTGTTTACTCATACAAGCAAACGCATTCTATTTTTAGAACGCGATTGTCGTTGCCATCAAAAATGCAGCCTCATATTGCAAAACGAATGTATGGTCGTAAGGCATCTTGTTAAATCTATTGTCTTTGGTACTAGGACTTAAGGATACGATCTCAGCAATGGCACGCTGACTTTTGCCACTTTTGAAGTGGTGCAGGACGAGTTCACGCTGCTCTATTGTTCTACGTGGTGCCATTTTAGTTTTTCCCCGTAATCTTTTGCATTTAGAGTGACCAATCCCCGAGATGGAGATTATATAAATACTTAAAGTTATATAATACCAAAAATCCAAAAAAAATTGAAAGTTTGGCTTTAAATTTAATTTTTTTGGTATATAAATATGCTGCACGAAATAAGCTGCGGCCTTAAAAATGACTGTTAATTTGTTTTTTGGTATGTAACTTTTTTGTTTTTATGTTTATGCAGTTTTTTTTAGTTATTAAATATGTTAATATCCCAAATTAAAATATTGCGTTTAAATTTTTGAAATATACCTATTCGTTCAGCGGCAATAACGACTTAAACATTTTTTATTCCCCTGCACGAAATAAGCTGCGACCCACTTTATGTAAACATGATGAAAGTACGTTTGCAATCAGCTTATATTGAGCAGAAAGCTTATTGCAAACTTTAAATGCAAATTTAATTCACCTTTAAAATATGCTTCGGTCTCCCACTCCTTTTTATATTTTTGAATATATTTTGTTTTTTGAGGCACTGGAGGCATAATGAATGCAAATATTAACAATGGCGTTGCAAAACGAACAAATTTCGGGGGAATAACAGTTTACAAAGAATTCGTTATAGCCATATGACACAGGCGCATTAATTAGAGACTTCATTAAAGATTTGGCAGCGCTATAGCGTTTTACACAAGTGCGAGTAAGACGACTATATGGCGCTCTAATGCATTAGAATAATGGCGCGATAATCGATAGATCTACATAATATATATTAGATACTCGATAACAAAATACAGGTTTAATGAAGAAAATTGTAATTGAAAAATGTATTAGCCAGCTCATTGACAGTATGGTCTCTCAATGAGAATTTTATTTTTATATAATTTCGCTGGTTTTTTGAACTGAAAAAATATTAGAAAATTAGGAAAAATAATATGTTTTGCGGTGGCAAGGTTCTTGCGCTGTAAAATAAATTAAACATTTTTTTTTGTAATAATTAAAAAAATTTGAAACATCATAGGTTAAAAACACAAATTTAAAGGATTCTGCATTTATTTATGCAAGATTTCGACGAGGAATTCAGAAATTCATAGTAATACGCCGCCAATGGCGGCCGTTTTTTTTGTTTACCTTTTACGGTCGGTGTGAATGTAGTCGTATCACCAAAATAATCCAAGCAAAATGACACATATAGTGGACTCTTTCAAGGTTCTAATGAAGTAGCTAATTAATGAAAACTGCATTACAGTATCATACGAGGGTGGTCCGATAAATACTTAGCCTCAACGACTGAGGTGTTTCAAATCGGTTATTGATATTACTATCGATTAGAATATTCTTTTGGACGACTACTGTAAAAATTTCAATCGAATCGGTCCCAAAGCTTTTTTAAAACCACGTGTGGAAGTTGACAAACTCGTGAATTTTAAGGAAATGGAAAAAGAGCAATACCGATCGATGATAAGATTCCTATTTTTGGAAGGGAAGTCGCGCTCCGAAATCAAAGAGCGCTTGGATGCTGTGTATGGTGACTCTTCTCCTTCGATGGCGACCGTCAAAAATTGGTCAATGAATTTCAACATGGTCGCATATCCGTTTTTGATGAGTCACGCCGAGGTGCCCCAAAAACGGCTAGTACGGAGGAAAATATAAACAAAATCCACAACCTCGTATTGGGAGACCGCCGATTGAAGGTGCGCGAGATAGCCTATGCAATAGGCATCTCAAAAGACCGCGTGGGCTATATCCTGCACGAAGTTTGGGGGATGAGAATGCTGTCGGCGCGATGGGTGCCGCGTTTGCTTACTGCAGACAACAAACGTAACCGAGAGACCACTTCAGAGCAGTTTTTGACGCTCTTTAAACGCAATCCGAAGAAGTTTTTGCGCCGTTTTGTGACCGTTGATGAAACGTGGATCCACTGGTATACACCAGAGACCAAGGAACAGTCGAAACAGTGGACTTCACCTGGCGAACGTGCTCTGAAGAAGGCGAAGACAGTCGGTAAGGTGATGGCCACTGTTTTCTGGGACTCACAAGGTGTGGTTCTCATCGACTACCTGGAGAAAGGCAAAACAATTACAGGGTCGTACTACGCTGAATTACTGGGCCGATTCGATGACGAATTGCGGAAAAAACGGCCCCATTTGCCCAAAAAAAAAGTTATTTTCCACCATGACAATGCACCGGCACACACCTCCGCTCTCGCCACCTCAAAGTTGGTCGAATTTCGGTACGAATTGCTGCCCCATCCACCATATTCGCCAGATTTGGCTCCGTGCGATTTTTTGTTCCCAAACATGAAAAAGTCACTCGCCGGGCAAAATTTTCGATCAAATGAAGAGGTCTTTGATGCCACGGAGGCCTATTTTGCAGACCTTGAAAAATCATATTTTTTAGAAGGGTTAAAAAAGTTGGAGCATCGCTGGACTAAATGTATAGACCTAAAAGGAGACTATGTTGAAAAATAAATTGGCACTTTTCCAACATTTTTGTTTTTCTTTTGTAGGCTAAGTATTTATCGGACCACCCTCGTATGGGCATAAGCAAGAAATCGTTTGTATGGGGGCGACGATAGAGCTGCAAAACTATCGATGGTACCATCGATAGCATCGATGTTTTCAAAATGGTCTGATATATCGATGTTAAAAAACGATGAATGAAAATGAAAAAATGAAATTGTGACGCTTCAAGCTACGCGTAAGTGTTTGTTGATTTAAAAATGTGTATAATTTTATAAATTCATTTTTTTTTTAATAGTTTCTTACTGCAATAATATATGTTAATTGGCGGTTCTTCTATATAATGGATAAGTTTTTGTGCACATCAAGTAAGTTAAAACCTTGATAGCAGCAGTGTATATTATTACAAATCTATTGCGTTTTAGACTGAAGCATCAATGAAGAAAGCATGCGAAATATTAGGCAAAAAGCACATTGGTTGCTATGCCCACACTTTAAACTTAATTGTTCAAGAGGCACTGGCATTAAGCGAAGTATATGCGATTTTGAAGTGTGTGAAAAACATTGTTATCTATTTTAAAAACAGCAAATTAAAAAAAACTCCAGATGTTGTAAAGCCGTTAACTCTGATCCAAGAAGTTCCAACACGTTGGAACAGTGGGTTGCATATGCTAAAGCGAGTTCTCCTTGTAAGGGAACACATTTGCACAGTCCTTTTAAATACATCAAAGGCACCATTGCCCTTAAACGAGGATCAATTTGATTCCATGAAGGAGATATGCAGCGTATTGGACCATTTTGAAGCGACTACATTAAACACTTCGTCTGCTAAATCCACCACAGTAAACTTAATTATACCCACGACACTCGGCCTTATGATTAAGGTGGACAGTGCCCAGGTATGAAAACAACTGTGGGGGTCGAAATTTGCCATTTTCTACAAACCCGTCTGAGGGAAAGACTCGCACCTTATGAAGCCCGAACAGGTACGCGACTAGCGACTATGCTGGATCCACGCTACAAAAAGGAGGGTTTTCGCGAGCAGAGTAATGCTGAACATGCAGCCAAACTATTGGAGACAGAAGTTGCGTGTGTATTGCGAAATGTGCAAAAAAGCAGTATTCTACCTACATATGAAGAACCGCCGGTTAACAAGGAGGACGCTAGTCATATCTACTGTTTTATAACTACTAAAATTAAGCAAAAACCGAAGACTGTTCGATCTGACGCTATAATTGAGCTGCGTCAATATTTTGAGCAGCAGAATGCCATGCAAGAAGCAGATCCGCCAGAATATTGGAAGGTAACATTTAAAATATAAATCTTTTTAGCTATAACCATTTTCGAATTTTTTGCAGAGCAATGAAGCCCACTTTAGTTCACTAGCGCATTGTGCGTTAAAATATCTGTGCATTCCCGCTACTTCAGCTGAATCAAATAAACGTGCGGCTCTAAAACAAAAAGCTGTCAACGTGCTAATTTTTTTTACAAAAAAACCAATGGTTAGACAAAAATAATTGAAGTAATGGAAAAGACTTAATTATAATATTTAAAAATAGTTTTTGTGAATTGAAAAGACTTACATTTTATGTTTATTAAGTTTTAAGAACCACTTGATGAAGCAATTGTTTTTGTTTTTTAATTTTAAAAAATGAATGATATATGATTATTTTTATTGTTATTATTTTTAATATTAAGAAAAAAAAGCTTTGATTTGTGAAGACATTATATATTTTTTTTTAATTTTAAGAAAAAAAAGCTTTAAATGTGAAGACATTATATTTGTTTTTTAATTTTAAGAATAAGCATTGAATATTTGTTTTTTTAATTTCAAGAAAAAAATTTGAATAAAAAAAGCTTTGAATTGAACAAAAAGGATGTTTAATTAAATTTAAACAAAAAAAGAAAATATAAACTTGGTTCTTTTATTTTTAAGAAATTAATAACATTATTTTGCACATACAAAATTAATGATTGCCTTTTATATATTTTACTTAATATAGCATAAAATGTATTGTATTTATCGCAATGTAAAATATTTTAAAAATTTTCGATGTTTTAACGATATATCGATGTTTTTTTGAAAAACATCGAGGTTTTGAAACATCTAAGTTGAAAACTATCGATGTACCCACTATCGATAGTTTTGCAGCTCTAGGTGACGACCAGTTTTCTTTTTTTCCTTCAGCTCTTTAGCGACGAAATACATTAAGAAAACACCAAAATCCAATCCGTTTGAATTCATCTTTATTGTTTACAAACAACAAATAGCTGTTCAGTATTATTCTTTTCATGGCGTTTTCCTTAATTTTTTTTGGTCACACTGGTTACCGAGCCAAATAAACAGCGATTTCGCTATAACACGATACATCGGATTTTCGTCGTCAGAGTGCTGGCTATAAGTACAAGCTCTGGTAGTATGGGGACGCAGTTCATGATACAACTATACAAGGTAGTCCACTCGGCAAAGTCATAGTCCATTAATATAAGTGCGAGTGAAATAGCATTCAATAGTTAGTGTGAATGAAATGGCAACATAGTGCTTCGATTAACCCGTGCACGGTGCATGGTTCTAAAAGTTTCCTTATTTATGATAAGAGTTGTATTGTTTATAATTTTATTTTTATAAGTTATAAATTTGACATAAGCTAAGCTGTCATCAAAATCAAATTGGAGATTGCAATCTTCAGGCTCGTTCTCTTCGTTTTCAATATTTTAGACGGCTTGAGAAAAGTCAAGATTAAACCACTCATCAGAATCGTCTTGCTTGCCATTCAACAATGAAGACATGAAGGACAGCACAAAATACAAAGCACAATACAAACATAGAAGCATCTCTGAAACATATATCTAAACATTTGACAATTAGTGGTGTTAATATTAATTAAATATTAATCGGTTGTATTTGTTATACCTGTTATATATTTTCTTAATCTATACTTGAACTGCAATGGAGTCGGATGGTCGTACTGTCCACCTTTCGACCGCATAGCTCCAAAAAAGTTTTCAAGAATATCTTGATTTAAACGACTCATTAAAATATACTCCAAGCCATACTTTTCCGCCAAGTAGCTATGCAAACCGCCGAGGGATACATTGCTTACCAAAATGCCTTTTTGAAAAGGCACCTTATGATTGCCAACAAGAGTATTACCCATTTTCTTTGACATTTCAACCAACATTCTTTGTTGAATTTTAAGTTGTTTTCCGTAAGGCTGCGTCGTTTCAATAGAATTTGCTGTTGAAATTTTTGTGTTGAACACATCGAACCAGTCATTGACAAGATCAAAGAAATCTGCTGTTTCGCACGGGTTCTCTATTACATTCCCCAACGCATAGCAACGTTTATTACAACTGGCGCTTGTATGGGAGAAAAGTTGCATTGCTAGTTTAACTTGGCTATCGGTTACCTTAAACAGTATCGACACGTCGGACTGAGCACAGTACCGAATTGTCTGCTGGATAGTCGCCTTTGTCAACTTTTTTCCGTTGATGTTTAATCCTGAGCCGATATAGTGGTTACGGATTAACTTCACTAGGTGTAGAGTGTCGGAAAAAACAAACACTTTTAAGTGTGCATCCGCTGGATGGCTGAACCAGGTCTTTGCTAAAATTGCAAATAAGTTAACATTTATGTTATGCACTCATTCATACAAAAGACTTACTCTCCGATATACCAAGCTGTTTCCAAGGCTTTGATTTCCAGGATCCAAGTCTGACACAATAGCTACTACTGGAAAACCTTTCTTGTGCAGTTTTTTCAAAATGGAGTGCAGGGTTGCTACGTTCATTGGAGCGTTGTAATCGAAGAATACTGGTTGCTTCCACGATTTCTTCAAGCCACGTACTATAGCCACTTGAACGTAGTTCCTGGTGTAATTTGTACCTTTGCCAACCAATTATACAGCGTTGACCGACACGGAAGAGGAAAGCCTTTCTTGTATAAATGACGGTATGCGCGAGGGCCCTCGGTATGGAGGCAAATTACTTCAGACATGTCAGCTGCATTAAAAACTACTCTTTTTCCGCCACTCTTCAAAATATTTATTTGAGTACTAGTAAATATTTTGCCTAGACCCTTTTCAAGATCATCAAGTTGCTGGCGTAAGGACTGCTTTTCCATTTCTAAATCACTTGTCTTTTTTTCAGGCTTTTGTTCTCTATATTAATTGCCCGATCTATCGCTTTGTTCCTAAATCATAAATAATTTCTTTTTTATATACATAATATTTTTAACAGTTAACTTACTCTGTATGCGCGCTAAATGACCATTGGTTTTATGGTTTTTGTGTAATATTACCTGAAAGTCGACCATTTTACCAATTTTTTTTTTTTGGTGTGGTGCAAAAAACGAAAGAATGTTCAACTTTGAATGCTCATATCTTCTACAAAAAATAAATTTACTTGGGAAATTTTCTGTCGAATAAGTATGGTTAAAATCGTTTTTGTGAACATGACTTTTTCGATATTTGCAACGCTAATTGTTCGAGAGGCGCTACTGTGCGGCAAAAGAAAGTCTGCAACACTAAAAATGTTAGCATTTTAACAACCTTTGTTTAATACAAAATAATAATATTGCTTTGTTGTAAGGCAACAACAAAAATATTATTGTATATTGATTGATAATTATTTGCTACAACCAAAATAATATTTTTTTTCTTTATTAACAAATACTGTAGCAACAAAATAAAATTGCAGTTTTTACCCTTAATACAAGAAAAATTAGTCTACATTTTGGAAAAATTTACCCTTAATTTTAAAACGTTTTTTTTCCAAATTTAGGGAAAAACGCTTTCAAATTAAGAAATTTTCTCTACATTCAAGAAAAATTGCCTTTGATTAAAAATAGTTTATTTTATAGGGCGTTTTTAGGTAAACATTTTTATGAGATTTCCATTAATGCTTTATCAAAAGTTTGATTTCGCAAAGACTCGACACCACTTTAAGTGGTTTAAGTGGTGGTACCATGACTGTAATTTCGGCATTGTGCTGGCCAACTGACGGAACTGACAGCTGAGCTTATAAGCTCTCTTATACGCTTGCAAAAACGCCACTACTTGTATGAGAGCGGCCACACTGAAAGCGGAGCGGAGCTTATCAGCTTTAAGCTCCACTACGCTCTGCTCTGCTTGGTTGAACAAACGTGTTTCATTTTTTTCAGCAGCTGACTCAGCTTGTTTACTTGCGTTTTAGAAATGGATTGTGAAACATTAATAAGTGAGATAATGGAAAACCCACCATTGTGGGATACAAAAAATAAGAACTATTCCAATAAAATAGTAACCGAGAACATATGGGATTCTATTTCAATAGTGATGAATGCACCAAGTGAGTATAAATTGATGTACTTATAATGCCGTATTATTCATATATGTATGTATGTAAGTAACGTGTATGTAACTTTGTATGTATGCAGTTAAATAAAGAGAGAGAGCGAGAGAGCTTTTAGTTTTTCAAATTCGTTCACACGTTTATAAAGAGAAACTTTAAAAATTCAGAACATATGTACATATGTATGTATGTATGTATGCATAAGATTTGTATATTTGCTTTAATATAAAAGTATAAAACAATAAATAAGAACATACGCTCAAATTAATTATTTGAATTACTTTACAAAATGTGCCGTATATTTTTTTTATCTATGTACATACATACATATGTATGTACATATATGTACTTGTTTCGATTTGTTCTTGAATCACAAAAGAATATATATGTATATGTACATATATACACAGATATATGTAATCATTGATGCGTTCTATGTCAACAATTGTGTAGCGCAAAAGATACATACATTGTTTTTATCAGTAGGATTGATGTATGCGGCGAAACATAAATTTCTCCCTTCAACAAAACGCTATTTTTCAGCTAAAATTTGAAAAGCACACCCGTCGCAACATCTGGCAGATGAGAGCCTTTGATTAAAAAGCATATCGACGCATTTTTGCGAAAGTATCGTATGTCGCTTTTTTTCGAAATTGAGATTTTAATGCAAAATTGTTAGGCACCTAATGTCTCACTACCCTGTGAAATATTATAACTGAAAACCCTATAGTTCCGATAAAAATTAAGTTTCAATTTTGTCTTTTCTATAGTGCTTCCTAAGAGATTAAAGCACAAAAAAGCTTCTCCTGTAAAATTGGATTTTTCGACATACGATACTTTCGCGAAAATGCGTCGATATGTCTAATTTTTTTGTGTGAGAAGCCGCGAAAATTCCACTGTCACACAGTAACGCCCTCTTCTCATTTTGCGTTGCAAAAATCATATCTTGTTAACCAAAGAAGATAATCGAATAATTTAAGCGGCATTTGAAAGATAATTGCTGTAAATTTGATATATGTACTGCACACCACGCCCAGTGGAAATATAAATATAACATGTAATTTATATTCTACAATTTCAGAGATCCAATGCAAAAAGAAATTTAAGTACTTAAAGGACGAGTACAGGAAGGCGCTGCGAAAGGTCCCTCAACCAGGAGCTGAAGCAGAGACTTTCGTTTCAAAATTTAAATACTTCGAGCTGATGAGTTTTTTAAGAGACGATTTCGCGGTGGCAGGATACAGCCACAAGCGTAAGACAGACTTGGATGAATCATACGTGGACACAGAAAAGAAAAATCTAAAACCTTTGGAAGCAGAAATCAAACGAGCATATAAGGAAGACTCGGACGACTTGCAGTTTTTTAAAAGTTTATTACCATATGTTAAAAATATTTCACCCCTTCAAAAATTACAGTTTAGGTCTAACCTAATAAATAATATTATTGAAATAACAAAAGAGGAGGGGTTAAATGAACTAAATGTACATATCTGAAACACACAAGCTTACAAAAAATAAAATATTTACACGAATATGTAAAAAACTGAAATAAATAATGAGTGAGAAAAAACCATTGATTTAATTTATTACAACAAAATCCGAAAGAGATTGACATTCTGAAGTTAGAGCTTTTTCAATTTGTTCTCTCACACGATCAAGTATGTATGTAAGTAATCAATCGTTTATTTTTTCATTTTGATGGCTTCCAGTTTCTGTGTGGGGTGCTGAAAAATAAGCTCGCTGAAAAGCTCAGCGCATATAAGCTCGCTAATAAGCTCTGAACTTGTAAGCTCATTCAGTTCCGCTCTCAACCGAAAATGCGCGCGCGGCCTTAGGAAACAAATAAACCTAAACATATTTTTAATTATTTGTTTAAGTTCATTGGTTTTTTTACACCTGTCTGTCCTGCTGACATCCAAGAGTTTCCATAACGTTTACCTTTTTTGCCTATATGTACACAGATACACCGATTTTGGGCACTTTATCCCAAGTAGGTATGATTTCTCCCCTAGGTCGGATTTTCTTAATATAAGAACGAACTAAGAAAAATTTCAATCTAAATTTTTCTTAATTTAATCTTAAATTTTTTAATCCCAAAAATTCTTGATTTAATCCCCAAAATGATTAAAATTTGTTATCCCAAATATTGTTGTGCTTACATTTTTATTTTTTAATTTTAATTTATTTTATTATTATTTTTTGTTCTTATACGCTTAATATGAGATTTAATTAAATTAATTACAATGTATACATTAATATTAAACTTATTTACACATTTTTATACCCTTGCAGGGTATTATAATTTCAGTCAGAAGTTTGCAACGCAGTGAAGGAGACGTTTCCGACCCTATAAAGTATATATATTCTTGATCAACATCAACAGCCGAGTCGATCTAGCCATGTCCGTCTGTCTGTCCGTCTGTCTGTCTGTCTGTCTGTCTGTCTGTTTCTACGCAAACTAGTCCCTCAGTTTTAAAGCTATCTGAATGAAACTTTGCATATAGTCTTCTATATGCTCTCACTGCTATATATGTCGGAACGGGCCGGATCGGACGACTATATCATATAGCTGCCATACAAATGTTCGATAAATTTTTAGAAAAAAAATTATAACTTGGCTGTTTTTCAATATTATTCCATAATTTTTTGAGATATAGCCATTTTATGTTATTCCAGAATTTTGTTAAACATTTTATGAAAGTCGGACCACTTTATCTTATAGCTGCCATAGGAACGATCGGGAAATTAATCGAAAAAAAATTATAACTTCGTTGTTTTTCAACGTATTTTAATCTACTTTGGTACATGATCTTCTGGTATTATTTCAGAATTTTGATATAAATTTTATGAAAATCGGACGACTATATCTTATAGCTGCCATAGGAACGATAGGGAAAGTAATAGAAAAAATTATAACTTCGTTGTTTTTCAACGTATTTTCATCTACTTTGAGACATGAGCTTTTAGTATTATTTCAGAATTTTGGTAACAATATTATGAAAATCGGACAACTATATCATATAGCTGCCATAGAAGCGATCCGCAGATGTAGAGAAAATGTAAAGCTGGGAATGTATAACTGTAACTGTCAAACTGTAAACATAATAAGTATAGGTAAAATGTTATGAAACTCTGTTTTGTGTGTGTTTTCGGTATTATAATTTATAATATAAATATCAAAACCAAATTAATATATGCTATGTATATATATAAAACTTGTATATATGTTTTTTTTAAATTATTTAACCAGAATGGCTCGATTCTGCAAAAAAGCCCACTTTTCAATAAAATACTGTGGCGAAACGGCTAAAGTTAGCTTAATTATTAATAATTAGATTTAATAACCATATAATAACACAACATTTGAACAGTTTTTGATAAATTTTGTATTGAAAAATATTTAGAGGTAGAGGAGTTATAGGGAATCTCCTGAGTCGCCTCCAAAAAAAGTTGGTTTGCGGTGTACATCCTAACTGTCCACAGAATCATCCGATCTACAAAAATTATACCTCATTCGTTACAGGATAAGTGTCCCGAGGTATTCAAGAAGCGCTTTTATTTTAAAAATTTTTTCCCTATTTTTTACCAAAATTTGAAGTAAAAACCCCGATTTTTGACTAAAAAATTAAGTTAATTTGTTAAATAAAAAATATAAGAAAATTAAAAATTAAAAAAAGCTCTACGTGAATACCTGTAGAATTATCTAAAGAAATTATGTTCCAAATTTCAAACCGATTGGTTCAGTAGATTTTAAGTTCTCGTGTACACCGATTTTCAAAATGACATTTTTCAGGAGAGCGCTTTAAACTTTATGATTCTCATACATTGAACACCAACCGACCTTCCGACTCCGCATAACTCGTCAATTTTCCTATGATCGGTGTAATACTTGGACACAATATTCTTAAGATGTTGAACTTTCAAAATAAAAAATAAAAAAAAATTTACGAAAAAAAAAATTAAATATCTCCATAAATATTTCAAAGGACCACATTTTTTTATAGCATAATGAACAAGAAAATGGAGCTTTGGCTTTGATCATGTACTAATTGCAAGTAATCTAAATCACTATATGAATCAATACCAAGTTTATTAAATCTATTAATAAAATAATAGCTTGCCAGCGTTCATTACCGACCGGTATTAAATCTCTCATAATTAGAGGCAAGAAATGAATAAAACAAGCTGATTCACTTGCAGTCATTCTTAAATTATTTGAATTTAAATGATTAATAGATAAAGGAACCGATAAAGTAGTCATTTCCGTTTCAACAAAAGCAAAAAGGTTTTTTTTCTATTATTTACTAGTGTAATTATTTTGCTGTCTATAAACTAAAACTTTGCACACGTCATAAAAGCATACGCTCTCTTACAAATCGTGCATCCAATGAAATGGAAAAATTTGAGTCGAATCGAAATATTTCAAGCATTCTTTACGCCAGTTTCTAAATAATTGTGTTCAATAAAATCATTGTAGTATATGATTATATTTCTAAGGCTATTGGTTATCTTGGCAACATCAAATTGCATCTCGCACTTAGCTCATTTACAAGCGCGACAATATCGCTTTGCATTTAAGGATTGAACAAAACCTAAAATACTGTTTACAGCTAAATTTACGCCTACTATCACTGCTAAAATCACGGATCGTAACAGCTATAATTTTTAAAATACAAATTATAAAATAAGAGTTATTTTACAATTATATAGAAAAAACAGGAAATTAATTCTTATTATTCAAGATTTATAAAAAAGTTGTAGAATAATTATTATTTTTCAATTTGTATATAAAATTTGAGCTATAACAATTATTTGCAATTTTTAAAATAATAATTGAAAATTAAAATTATTCATTTAAAAACATCAGTTTTTTAATCGAGTCTGAGGAAAGCTTGCACCTTAAGTCACCAACTTCAGTGCCGAAAAGGCTCTTTCTACAGAAACCTCCGAAGCAGGAACACAATGAACAACCTTAGTCAGAGCTTAAAGGCATGGATAAGTGTATTTTTTACTCTCCCAATACTCGATTATGTTCGCATTTGGGTCTAGTGACTTGGGAGAGTATCCATTAATTTCCATTTCCGACAATTTCAGTTCAAGAAATTCCTGGGTAATTATCTCAGTATTCTTGTTTGTTTCTGAAACGGTGAATTTTTTACTATATGCACTTATGTAGATGTACATATTTGTGCACATGCAATAACCACAATATATACATCAAACGAAAGGTATTGAACTGTTATTTTCAATTTTTAAAATAAAAATTGGAGAATAATTTTATTTTTCAATTTTTTTTGAAAAATTGAAAATAACTGTTATAACTATACTTTTATATACAAATTGAAAAATAATAATTATTCTTTTTTTTTTTTTTATATAAGTTCAAATTTAATTATACGTTAATCAACCAAATCAATGATTATAAAACGTAGGGACTAACACTAACAACAAACATAACATGGAAACATAACAGTAAACGGTAAACAACAATTTATAATTTACAAAGGCATTTCAGTTATTGGTGTAGGACTCGGGTTCTTTGCCTCCCTCTTAACCAAAGGTCACCTGGATGTCGTCTCTTCAGTCTTCGTCTGGACATGGGGATGGCCAATGATGCCGCTAGGTGGTTGGTGTGGGCCAGAAGCCGTTCATTGTACCGACTTGAGTGCCTGTTGATCTGCTCCCTCACTGGTAGCATTTTGAGGTCGTTAGCGATGTCTGCATTCCTAGCAAACCAGGGTGAATTTGTGATTGTGCGCAGCGCCCGGCTTTGGACCCTTTGCACTTTCATAACGTTAGAGTCGGACGCAGTACCCCATATCTGGATGCAATAGGTCATAGCAGGAACAACTATTGCTTTGTATAGCAGCACTTTGTTGCTGAGGCTCAGCTTGCTGGTGGACTTTAGCATCCAGTTTAGCTTTCTGAGTTTTCCACGGCATGCTGCTGCTATTTTGGTGGTGTGTTGCCTCCACGTGAGCCGCTTATCCAAGATCAATCCCAGGTATTGGGCCTGAGGAGATTGAGGAATTAGCGTGTCCTGAAATTTGACCCTAGGGAGGATTTTGTGTCTCAGGGAAAAATTGCAGTGTTGCGATTTATTTCCATTTATGGATATGTTCCACCTCTTCGTCCACTCGCTATATGTATCCAAAAAGCTTTGCGTTTTTCTAGAAGCCTCGATTCGACACGCTGAGTTTGCGATAAAGGCTGTGTCATCAGCATACGTTGCAAGAAGTGTCCCCGGTTCTCTGGGATTGGGCAAGTCAGAGGTGTAAAGGGTGTATAACACAGGACCCAAAACACTCCCTTGCGGTACTCCAGCTCGACTGCTTCTAATGGATGATCTTTCACCTCTCACATCAACCATGAATTTTCGCTCCAGCAGGTACGATTTCAGAAGGAGATATTGAGCAGTTGGTAGGAGTGTTTTTAGCTTAAAAAGCAATCCATTGTGCCACACTCTATCGAAGGCTTCCTTTACGTCAAGGAAGATAGCAGAGCTGTACTGACCGTTTTCAAAAGCATCTAAGATATGCTGCGTTACTCTATGAGCCTGTTCTG